TCCATATCCATGCGTTACACATCCTCAGATTCAACCAGCTGTGGATTGAAAGGCCTACAATGTTTGCGTCTGTACTGAACATGTACAGACTTTTTTTCTTGTTATTATTCCCTAAACAATACAGTAAAGCAACTATTTACATAGTATTTACATTGTACTAAATATTATAAGTGATCTAGAGATGATTTAAAGTATAGGGGAGGATGTGTGTAGGTTATATGCAAATACTACACTATTTTATATAAAAGACTTGAATGTCTGCAGATCTGGGTATCTTGGGGGGGGGGAGTCCTGGAACCAGCCCCTCACCACCCCCACCCCACCCCCACCCCCACATACACAGATACCAAGGGACTACTGTGTGTTGTGTCACAACTGCTTAAGGTCTGCTTTTTCATTTTCTCATTTGTTGTATGTGGAGACCTCTTCAATAATTGGTAACCTCTCATCATCTCTTAGAAAGGCTTTGCAGTCCTTATTTTTGCGCTTTATCAAAAAAGTAATCAAAACCTGATCTAATTTAAGTTTTGAGAATTGTGTGTCTGCCTTGGAGCCCAATCTCTTTCTTTTTCCCTGCACTCCATCGCCCATTCTGTCCCCAAATTAGTTTTAAGTTTGTAAGATAGTGCAAGTTTACACATTATCACATGCTTATTAGTGGTTTCTGAAAAGTATTACTTGACTTGCCATTTTAAGCACACCTAATACAAGGGTTCTGACTTATTAATTGCAAATAGCTACTGTGAGCTTGCCTCTGCTTGCTTTTTCCCAAATAAAATGTATGGCCTTATCATAGGAAACGTTAAGCCCAGGTATCAGTGTATTTGAATAGTTTTTGGGTTCTGAATTGAGATGTTACAGGATATTGGCAGTGAAAGCTTTGAGCAAGCCCAGTTTGAAGGAATGGAAAAGGAATAAAGGCTTGTCTTGTGTGTCTTCACACAGTGACAGTTGGACTCTGAGTCACTGAAGTCTGCCTGCTGGAACCTGTACTCGGCTCTTGAAGCTTTGCAGAACAGCTGCCTGAAGAATACATTAGTACAAAGGGGTTTGAGGATTGTTTGTGACTTTTAAGTAAAAAGTTTACCTAACCAATAATGTAAAATGTGGTTAAACCTGCGTGGTAGTTCAAAGAGTTGCTTTACCTGAGCATTTGGCTTCTTTTGAACGGTGCCAAGGTAGGCCATATGGTGCCATATGCTTTGAAATAGCTGGTTTGCCTTGGAGTTTGGAAATGAGTTATTTGACTAGTTTAAAAAGTATATAAGGTTTAAAATTCATTTATTTGTGTAAGGGAAAAATAGTATATCCATTTTATTCCAACAGGATAGTTATTGTTTTGTTTTAAATCGAAGTCTCCCTCAGTGGGCTCTGGAACCTAGACTCCATCAGTTAGGTTTTCTAACCATCGTGTCCTATATTGACTAGAGTAGGGGGATCATATCAGATGGAACGGCTTCTGCATCCCAGCTCCAGCCCGTAGCAGCTTCATGATCTTAGGCAAGTGAGGTGGCCATTTTGAGCCCATTTCTTCATCCTTGGAATGTGACGGGATGATCAGAGCCAGCGCACGGGGTTGTGAGGCAAGACAATGCCTGTGAGTGGGCACAGCTATGTGGTACTGTGACTGACTCAGCAAAAGGGGTGCTATTCATTCAGCCAGCTTTTTAGGGTACCTGCTAGGTTCGTTCTAGATACAGAAGAATTCAAGGTGAAAATGACTTGATCCTGGCCCAGAAAATCTTACAGTTGACTTCATCCCTTGGGCCTTATATTCTCTTCACCTAGGTTTTATTGGTATGAATGAGACTGGGTCTAAGAGATTGGATTCTCTTTTAGTGGGTGCAAAGGTGCTCATCCAGACTTGCTGTAATTAATGTTGTCCTCCTTCACATTCAAGGACCAGTTCTTCCACATGTAATATGTGAAGTATAGTATAGCATGGTATAGTAATGTGCTTGGCATCAAGTATAATTGTTTGTGGGACAAGTAGGGGATTTTAGTAGCTGATTCCTTTAAAATTTTTCCCTTATTTCTAAAAATAAAACCTTTTCCTGTCGTCAGGTTACATTTTTCCCAACTATATAGAGTTTTCTTTTTTTTTTAAATATTTATTTATTTAGAGAGAGAGAGAGTG